ACGCTACCCGGGCAGACCTTGAAGACGTCCATGTGGAAACAAGGTCGTACTGTCGTCTTCACAACTTCGATAGTCGAAACTGGACAAGTCGTACTATCTGCAGCAGCGGTGGAGCTTCTGGGTGGAACAGCTCGTATGTGAGGTGTGATGTGTTTCAGAGGCAGATTTCGAAATATGGTTAGCTATATGTGTCCAAGGTATATTGTCGCGTCAAATCCAAAATCATTCATCACGATCAGAGAGTGCCAGTGGCCATGCGAAAGCCCCTCGTGTGTTAGCGCTCGAAAGTCCGTTGTTCGCCGCCCACCCTCAGCGGTAGGTCCATCATGTCAGGAGAGTGAACAATGTGCTCCGCAATAATCACAAGATGGGGGGCCTATGGCATTGAAATCCTGTCGAAAGGGGCTCATCAAACACCCGCGACTTTATATGTACACACCTAGAGCTTACTGGGTCTCCTGCCCGCAGACTCCTTCCTCGCTTCGTCCCGTAAGACATTCTTCAATATCTTGCCGTTCGCTGATCTCGGAATCAGTTTCACGAATCGAACTCCTCCATCTAGCCACTTATACCGGGCCAATTTCGGTTTAATGTAGTTCTTGACTGCCTCTTCGTCCAAATCTCTCTCCGTGCAGCCCTCCCTCCGCACCACATAGGCTCTAGGGGCTTCCAAGGGCTCTCCACTGTCGACGAGGTGCTGGACACCGATTACGGCGCAGTCGACAATGTCGGGATGATCCAGCAAAATTCCTTCAATCTCCGGTGGCGCCACCTGAAAGCCTCGTACCTTGATCAATTCCTTCTTCCGGTCAACGATGTACCACAGCTTTGTCGTTGCATCGCAATAGCCGATATCGCCCGTGTGGTAGAAGCCGTCGGCGTCGAAACTTTGTGCATTCGCCGAGGGATTGTTATAATAACCAGGTACTATGGTCGGTCCTCGGAGGCACATCTCGCCCCGGACGTTGTAGACTTCGCCCAGGTCGTTGCCATCGTCGTCGACAAGCTTCATCTCGAGATTGGGTATCAAACGACCAATGCTCCCGGTGGTATCCTTTTCTGGATATTCGAAACGGGTTGCTGAGCACGACGATTCCGTCATCCCCCACACCTGGGTGACCGGGCAGTCCTCGCGTAGGAGCTTTTGCAGCTGGGCCTGTGGCTCGGGACGCAACGGCGCCGCCCCGCACATACACCAACGCACGCTCTTCATGGAGTATTTCCTGCTGTGCGGCGATTTGATAATGTTCAGAGCCATGGTAGGGACTACCCCGAGGCATGTCACTTGATACCTCTCCACGTTGGCGAGAAACTGCTCAAGGTCGAAGCGCCGCATGATGTACGTCTTCTCACCCTCTTTCAAAGTGCTAGTGTGCGCTCGAAATGCGATGGCGGCGTGGAACATGGGTAGGGGAAAGAGATGGATGTCTTCAAAGCTCGTGTTTGCGACATGACGTCCCCAGATCAAGTCATGCTGCGCCGTGACATTGTAGTGCGACACATCGACCGCCTTGGGCAGGCCAGTGGTTCCCGAGCTGAACAGTCGCATGGCTATGGTGCCCCTGGCCGTGTCCAAATCATTGAATCGGATCCAGTCTTTCTCTCCCTGCTCAAGTAAAGCCTTCCACGATTTCCAACCCCGAGGAACCTGCTGGTTTGGTAGAGGATTGAAAATCCATATGCGGGAGTCGGCGATGTCGAGGCTCCGTGCTGCCTTGTGCAGAGGATCTAATATTTCGGGCTCGGAAATGAGCCATTTGGCCGCTGCCGTTCTCAGGGCGTGTTTCAGTTCGTGTTCTGTGTAAGCTGGGTTTGTTCCAGTGAAGACGCCCCCTACTGCGATGATACCCAGGACTATGAGAGGATAGTAGATGTCGTTGAACGCATGGACGCACACACAGTCGCCTGCTTTGACACCGGCGGCATCAAAGCCTGCTGCCAATTGCCGTACGATTGCGCGGGCCTCTCGACTGGAGATGGATCTTTCCGCGTTTGCCGCATCAATGTAAACCTTTGTTCGACTTGTTCAGTCTCAGAAAAGTCTAAGCTGAGGGAGCACCTACTGGCTTGTCCGGGTCATATTTTACATCGTCAAAAATCCAAGAAAGAACATCCTTGGTGGAGAGTGCGTATCGCTCTCTTGGAGCAAAAACCATCCTTCTGGCAGCTTTGGGGCAGAGGTTCGAGCAGAGGCGTCGACTCCGGCGGACTGGGGGACAAATTGGCTTTGCCTACACATCCTATAGATCCGGTCACTTGACGTCCAAAATGCCGTGTTGTTATCAAGTGACACTTGGCAGTTCGGGTATTCTGGTCACCTGCATCCCCAGCGATCCTCGGCTACACATGGGATGTATTTGTGAGGTTGAACAAGAACATAATTGAAGATATCTCTGCTCCCATGGCTGGTCCAGAACCCGAGTTGCCGAGGTCGAGTGGGGCGACCATCATGAGACAGGGCATCTCTGATCATTGAACCATGTTGCCAACACTGATATTAAACCTCTGCCGGTTCGCTAATGTTTCCATAACAACGCCGGACGGACTGATGCCGGAGGGACTACGAGATGGCAACCACGAACGGCGTGACGTCTGAGCCCCCTACAAGCAATGTACCCAACCTCACGACCGATGTGCTCATTGTTGGGGCTGGTTTTGGAGGCATCTATGGGCTTTATCAATTCCGCAAACTAGGTCTGTCGGTCAAGATCGTCGACGCTGGTTCCTACTTCGGCGGTACTTGGTATCACAATCGATATCCTGGCGCCCGTGTCGACTCGGAGGTTCCATACTATGCCCTGTCAATTCCTGAACTATGGAACACTTGGACATGGTCGGAACGGTTTCCAGGCCATGAGGAGCTACGTCGATATTTTGCGCACGCCGATAAAGTCCTCGAATTGAGCAAGGACACATTCTTCAACACCAGTGTCGTGGAAGCCCGCTTCGATGTCGATGCTCAGCAATGGACGGTCAAGACGCACAACGGTGGGGTAGTGAAGGCCACTTATCTCGTCCTCGCTGCTGGCAGCTCTTACAAAACGCACATGCCGGACTTTAAAAACTTCTCGGTGTACAAGGGCCGTGTCTTCCATTCATCGGCATGGCCCAAAGAAGAGATCGACCTAAATGGCAAGGCAGTCGGCGTGATTGGGAATGGCGCTACTGGAGTGCAAATTGTCCAAACGCTTGCTCGCCAGCCTTGCAAGCTCACAACTTTTATTCGGACACCAAATATTGCCTTGCCTATGCGGCAACGTCAATTGACCTTTGACGAACAAGACATTGCGAAGTCATTCTACGAAAGCTGGTACCAGACGGCTCGAAACACGGATTCTGGATTTCCGTTCAATACCATCAAGAATTCCATATGGGACGTCTCGCCTGAGGAAAGGGAGCGCGTTTTCGAAGAGCTCTGGGGCCGCGGAGGCTTCAACTTCAGCGTTGGTAATTATCGAGACTTCCTCACTGACAAGAAAGCGAACGCTCTCTTCTATGACTTCTGGGCTCGAAAGGTCCGTGCCCGTATCAAGGATCCTTTCAAGAGGGATGTGGTCGCTCCGCTGGAGCAAACCCAGTACTTCTGTACCAAGCGACCCTCACTGGAGCAGGACTACTATGAAGCACTGGATCAACCCAATGTCACAGTTGTCAATCTGAACAAGACGCCAATTGTTGAATTCGTGGAAAATGGTATCAGAACTACCGAAAAAGTCCATGAATTTGACATTATTGTCATGGCTACCGGATTCAACGCGGTTACAGGAAGTCTAACAGAGATCGATCTCTACGATACAGACGGCAAAACTGTGAAGCAAAAGTGGCACGACGGGGTCTACACGTATTTGGGACTCACTATTCCCAAGATGCCGAACCTCTTTATGGTATACAGTCCTCAAGCTCCCACAGCTTTTGTCAATGGACCGCCTGTCATTGAGATCCAGATCGAATGGATTGTGGATGCCGTCAAGAAGATGCGAGAAGAAAACATCAAGTCGATCACGCCCAATTTTGACGCAGCAGAAAAATGGCGGGACGAGATTCAGAAAATGAATGAAAAGACACTCCATATCTATTCCGACAGTTGGTACATGGGTTCCAACATTCCCGGAAAGAAACGAGAACAGCTCTTGTACATGGGAGGTCTCAAGACATACAACAACGTAATTCGGGATAGCCTCGATGGCTGGAAGGGCTTTACGGTCACCAAAGCTTGAGCGTTGACCTTTCCTGTTCTATGAGAAAGAGGATTGCTGCACAGATTGGCTGCGAGAAAATGCTACAACTCAGCAGACGGTCGGCGCTAGGATTCACACCAAAGCGAGAGTCCGGGAACTAGACGAAAGGGAGAATGGTAGAAGCTAGACAGCTGAATAGACCCACGGAGACATGGAAAATGCAATGCGTTGTCTATATTCAATCCTCTGGCTCGAACCGTAAACTTCGAGTTTTTGTCCTCTAAACGTCATGAGATCAGGTCAGGCTTTTTGTCTTTGACTAAACATGATCAAAGTTGAAAGAAACTCGCAATGAACCTCGGCATCGTGTATGCAATCATGACACGATGGGGGCGCGCCACTCCTTCGTCAGAGCCAAATGGTCCTGAATATGCGGGTTTGAATGAAAGCGTTCATTCTTATCTTCGACAACTCCTCCAGAGGAGCAAGTCTTCGTGCCGTCCGTCACCTCTATAGCAACTCCTCAGACCTAGCAAAATTGTTGGAGTAGTGGCAGTCATGCCTCAATTCTGCCTTCTGCAGTCATGCTATTCTTAATGCTTTGATATCTATCCCATTTATAGATGCTATCTCTCGAGGAGACTGTCAAGCGAAATCTCAAAAGGTTTATCCTGCTGTTACATTCTAAATGTCTTACCCGAAACAGATAGAGGCCAACCTTGGTCGTGAGAGTTCCCTATCTAGTAAAAGACGTGCAACTGGGACAAATATTAATGAATTATTTGAAATCGTATGGTAATAAAATTCCATCCCAAGCCCTACTCATACAATTTCGACCGCGATGGTTTCATCTGCAAAACTCGAACGTACCATCTGCGCTGCACGGGCTAGCAGCTGATATTCGAGCGTCTCCGGGGAGCGCTCGAGCCATTTGGGTAACCATGATATTACGTGCTCCTCCATCCAGGAATGCACCCTGACGTCTACCGTTCTTGCGATGCTCTCGATGATTTTTGCGACGTAGTCGCCACCTTCAAAGCGTGACTGCATTTTTCTCAGCACCTCCATCATTGGGGCTAAGACTGGCATTGCTCCAAGTTGAAGCTCCCTATGTCTGCAACCGAGGCAGACAAGAAGGACGGCGACCGGCAGAGTGATCCAACAAGGACTACAGTGTGTCTGTCAGTAGGCATTTTCGATAGACTGGAAAAAAACAGACTTACAACCAGGCAGGCAGATCCTCGACCCTGGCAACCGCCCACAAGCGCTGGACCGCATCACCGATGGCGAAGGAAGTTTCTTTCACTCTTTCTACTGATGCTTTGTGCAAGAGGAAGGCTGGAGACCGCTGCTGGATAGGACATCGCATATACGGCTCATAGAGTGACATCAACGTTGATCTGAAAAAGTCAGCATTTGTGCTTCTGGTTCTGCCGGCCTTTGTCACTCACAAATGAACAATTCGCAATATCTGGAGCGTCAAAAGCTGGGACCTCGTCTGAGCCATAATGTTGTTTTTGGCAAGTAAACCTCGATGCGAGCTCTCCCAATCCCGGAGGTCCTTGTCAACGCTGACGACGTAATTCAATTCATCTTTACAAATGGATAGCCAGGGGTTTTCTGCCCGCCAGTCTGAAAGTTTTCCGGAATTCTTTCGAAGAAGCAGAATGCGATACATCAGGTCTGACAATTTGCAGAGAGCGATGAAAGCTTCAATCTCGAAAATCTTCCCATCCATGCGCGCCGCTCGGGCCAGGAAAGCTATAGACCCAAAGTCTTCGGATTGTATCATGCGCCCCGGCTCAAAAGATGTGACCTTGTCTGGGCGACGAAGACCGAGAGCGAGAGCCCGAGTCCGTGCGACACAGCACCACCAGATGACACGGCTGTATTCCTCGGGGCTCTCGGAGAGATTTGCAATTGTGGCATGATGGAAAGCCTGGTCAACCCAGTAGGTGCTTACTTCTTTGGATTCATCAAAGGGACTCCAATGACTCAGGAGCAGTGCAATCTGAACCAGACTTACATCTCCAGGCCGACTTTGAGAACTTTTGTCAAACATGTATTTGGTGGTGCGGAAGCAGGCTCTCTGCGCTTCAGGTATCGATGTGAAGGAACTCCGTCCGAGCTCCTCGTCACTTACATGAGCAAAAGCCACAAAATTTATGGCACCAAGGAGTTCTCTCCCTCGATTGTCGTCAAGTCGGTCGGAGCCATACCAACTCGAAAATTCGATCTCATCTATAACTGGACATAGCGGGTGGAAGTTCTGGAAGTAGATTTCCACCAGTCGATCTTGCAAGTCTGGGCTGAGGTCTGGAAAATCTGGCTGATTTTGTCAGTGGGGGTTTTGACTTGCGGAACCATGCCAAACCACACAACTCACCCCATTTGTAAGTTCCTGTTGGCCGTCATGGGCCTTTTCGGGAGTTGCAAGCGACTCCAAAGACTGTGGCAAGACCCCCAACCCGGCTTGTCATGGTCAGCGACTGGCCACGACGAGTTTCCATGGTGAACTCACTTGATTTGAGAAGTGTGTTCTCTAAATCTAGTATGTGGTTCACGGTTGCGTCCTGGCTCAAGTCGCCATGCTGCTGGACAACGGAAAACTGCCCATCAAGGTCAACCTTGAGGTCGCTGGTGCCATCGATGAATGACAGAACATTGTGCTCAGTGGTCACGGAAGTTGGATCGAGTTCAAACATGTCCTCTGTGTCGAGAAACTCCCAGATATCTTCCTCGACCATAGGTTTGGCTGATTCAGCCATTCTCTATTACTTGTCCCTCGTCTGGTTTGGGAGTTCTCCACTATTCCGAAATTGTATTGGATAATAACCCAAACTTGGGCAATTTTCAATTGACCGAAGCTCTTGGGAGCCGCGACACTCAAACAGGACTGTCTTCCAAAGTGGAGGATTCTATTACAAGCCAACAGTGCAGAATGCTAGGGAGTTGATTGAATGCTGGAAGTTGGATGGGCTGCTAAGCTTGCAGGTTCCTCCATGGAACAAGCCCGGAACCGGCTCCGCTGGGATCTTTGGCTACCGAGGCTATCAATGGCATGTCCTTCAGTTGATTTGCCGAAGGAGCACTAAACCATACACGCAAAATGCGGCTTGAGGCTATCCGAAACGTTGTCCCTTGAAATTGTCATGGATAGCCTTTTGATCTAAAAATTCTGAGGTCGATTGCTGTAGAAATCAAAATCGCTGAGTCTTTCATCACAGAGAAGTGAAGGCATTCCTACGCACGCAGCAACCGATCAGATGGCGGGACCAGTCCGGCTGCCCATCAACCTCGATGCACTGCAAAACTATCTGGAGACATGCGTGCCAGATATCAAGACTCCCTTGAGTATCAAACAAGTGAGTTGCTTTTTGCACCTCTAGCCGTCACTCACATTAACGATATGCTCTGAAAAGTTTGGGGACGGACAATCGAATCCAACATACCAACTAACCGGCGCCGATGGAAATCGATACGTTCTGAGAAAAAAGCCTCCGGGAGCACTATTATCGCAAACAGCACACAATATCGAGCGTGAATACCGAGTCCTTCGAGCTCTAGAGAAAACCGACGTTCCCGTCCCCAAGGTGTATTGCCTCTGCACTGATCCCGCCATCATCGGAACGATTTTCTACGTCATGGAGTTTTTGGACGGCAGGATCTTTACCCAGCAGTCCCTGCCAGGAGTCAGTCCATCGGAGAGGACAAGCATGTAAGGATCTCCAGAAGTGGTGCATCCAGGACACCCCGACTAACTTCATCAGGTGGCGGTCAGCCATGGAAACGCTTGCCAGGATCCATGGCGTCGATTATAAAGGGTTGGGCCTGGGAAGCCTTGAAAAGCCCGACAAGTTTTATGTCCGCCAGATCCGAACGTTCACATCACTCTCGATACAGCAAGCACAGGCAACGGACAAAGAGACTGGTGTCCCCGTCGCCAAGGTCCCTCACTTGAACGAAATGACCGAGGCATTTCAGGATGTGCGATATCAACCAGAAGATCGCAAAACCCTCATTCACGGTGACTATATGATGCATAATCTGATATTCCACAAAACGGAGCCACGCGTCATTGGTGTCCTGGACTGGGAAATGACTACAGTTGGCCATCCACTGGCGGACTTGGTGAATGTGACGGCTCCGTTTGTGTCCGCCACTGCATCGACTCACGTTGGCGCGAACAAGGACTCGGCGGCCTTCAAACCGGGAGCGACACCAGGACTCCCAGCCAGACAGCAATGCGTGGCATGGTATGCTCAGGTGACAGGATGGGATCCTTCAGACGACCTGGCATGGGGAGATGCCTTCTCAGCCTTCCGGACTGCGGTCGTGATGCAAGGAATAGCGGCCAGATACGCATTAAGACAAAATAGCAGTGCGAGGGCATCCGAGTTTGGCCCCCAGGTAGTACCCAATTCACGCTGGGCATGGGAGTTGGTGTTGCGCTTCAAAACTCAGCATGGGAAGCGCACACCGTCATCCCGAAAACGTGGCACACCGATTTCAGGGAAATTATAGCGCTCGAGGAGTCATGAGTACACACACAGCCAACTAACTCGGCCACTTATCATGGGATGCTCGGTCACGGGGAGGTCAATCTAGGGGACGCTAGCTGAGGAAGAACACCCGCCTGGTATTCTTTCTCATTCACAATTGCAGGAGTACCAAGCATCAGGTCCCCCAACTTTGTACCTTTTTGTTTGTCCCTGAAAGAGAATGAAAATAATTTGTCTCATTACAGGGTTGCCTGAACTCACGCGAGAACTTGATTAGGTTGGCAGACCCCATAGTTGATCGATCACTTCAAGTTCAAAACTTGGTAGCCCTGCCAGGAAGTGCCTTTGTGACATAGAGCCTCAGCCCGAGGGTATTACCATCTCCTCGGGTAGATTTTCCTCCGCCCCATGCATTGGGTTCATGTGGGACGATGGCTCAGTTCCGCCGCCGAGGGCTGCCACCCATGCATGTTATTTGCCTCCCTAACCGCCCCTTTCAAAATGCTAAGGTCTATGATACACGGATTAGGAACAGCTCTCCTATGTGTCTCAATGATCCGGGATCGTTCAGCCTTCCGGAGTGGAAGTACTAAAGGACATTGGACCGAGGCCCATGCAGCTCCATTCTCCTTGGATTGGGAAAATCGCTGAACCCACAACTATTCGGCGTCTAATAACCTGATCTTCACTTCTTTCCCCTTGAGCACATTGCCCAGTAGAAAGTTGTTCATTGAGAAGATCTGTTCTTGATCGCAGAAATATTATAGCTTGTTCGTCGTTGCCTGTCTGCCTCATAACCTGCAATTTGTCAACCCGAGAGAAGTGACGGGAGAGATCCTCAATGTCTACCTCTGCATCTCAGAACATCCCACCCATCGCCCTCCCATTTGTGTCGGAACGGGCGAAAAAGCTTTTGGATGTGGTATAGACCCCCCTTTTCAATTTGGAATCCCAGGTCCTGTTTAACTATTAGCGACTGTATTTGTTATCTTTGAGGGGCAGTCATCGAAAACGACAATTGCACATCCCACAGCTTGGTCCTTTTTTTCCTGCCCCCATCTATTCATCCGCTGCTCAATCTAGAAACGGAATTCGTCTGGGACACGTTGCCTAACCCGTCTTGACAGGTCGAAAAATTCGTGCACGAAGAATGCATACCAGCGGATCCGGTCTTTCTCGCCCAGATTGGGACCGGCAATGGCCGCTGGCATGGTCACCCGTCCATCATAGATGAATTGAAGAAAAAAGCTCGTGCCCTGGGCATGTGGAACATGTTTCTTCCCAAAAATCATTACAAGGACGGCCCGCAATTCACGAATCTCGAATACGCCTTGATGGCCGAGTATTTGGGCAAAAGTAGCATAGCAAGTGAGGTATGTAATTCTTTTTTTCCCTTTTTCCTGGATTGAAATCCGTGCTTCCTAAATGGCAAGAGAGTGTGAAAACTTACAAAAGGCCCCCCTCCAGGCATGTAACTGCTCCCCACCCGATACTGGCAACATGGAAGTCCTCGCGCGTTACGGCTCCCCCGCTCAAAAGAATCAATGGCTCAAGCCTCTGATGGAGGGCCAAATTCGGTCTGCCTTCCTAATGACCGAGCCTGACATTGCTTCTTCCGACGGCAGTAATATTCAACTACGTATAGAACGCCATGGCGATCACTACCTTTTGAATGGATCGAAGACGTGGGCGTCCGGCACCGGCGATGAGCGCTGTAAGATTTATCTCGTCATGGGCAAGTCGAATCCGGACCACCCGGATCCGTATCGGCGACAATCTATCATACTAGTTCCGTCAGACACGCCTGGGATGAAGATACACCGGATGCTCAGCGTATATGGGTATGACGACGCCCCTCACGGCCACGGCCAGATCACCTTCACTAACGTCAAGGTGCCGCTCAACGCACTTGTCTTGGGCGAAGGCCGCGGCTTCGAAATTATGCAAGGTCGCCTAGGTCCAGGTCGAATTCACCACGCCATGCGCGCCATAGGCGCCGCTGAGTATGCACTGGAATGGCTGATCAACCGTCTAAATGACGAGCGCAAGAAGCCATTTGGCAAACAACTCTCGGAGCATGGCGTCCTGTTGGAATGGGTCGCCAAATCGCGCATCGAGATCGATGCTTCACGGCTCGTCGTCCTCAACGCCGCGATCAAGATTGACCAGATGGACGCCAAATTTGCGCTCAAGGAGATTGCAGAAGCAAAAATCAAGGTGCCTCAGGTCGCGCTTGAGGTGGTGGACCGAGCAATTCAAGTACACGGCGCGGTGGGTGTGGGCCAGGACACCCCACTGGCGAGTATGTGGGCGCACCTGAGGACGTTGCGGATTGCAGATGGGCCAGACGAAGGTTCGTATTTTGCTCTCTCTCTCTCTTTATCTCACTCAAAATGAACTTGTAAATTCTTCTCGACCATCCTGAGAATGAGGCTAATTTTGGTCTGTGCGCCTAGCTCATCTACACCAACTCGGCCGTCGGGAGAACAAACAGCGCAAGGACGAGGTCAAGAGACGCCTGGCCCAACAGCTGGCAAAGACCGAGTCCCTCTTCCAATCCATGGGCGTGGACCGCAACGAGTTGGGTAACGCCAAGTTCAACGCGAAGTTGTAGGTTTGTCGTAGCTAGTTACTTTCTATGAGCTCGGTATGAGCCTGCGAGGGGGGAGATGTGTCTGGGGGATCAAAACAATTTGCTTGAAGGAAGAAGTGGGGATGAAGACGTGGGAAGCGCGAATGCAGCAATAATCAGAGCGGGATGTACGCTCACAGGTAGCATCATATCCGATATATCCATAACAATTTAGCAGAGAATGAGATTTCAAAGGGGGCCCCCGAGAGGTTTGCCCTGAAGATGGACCCTGGATTTTCAACGGTTGGCAGCCGTCGTCAGAAGATATCGGTACTTGACCTCGTCCGCATCAGTCAGTACCTTCAGCCAACAAACTGTGGCTCCATAGGTTAGCTATTTCGGTGGGGCCCTCTATAGAAGTAGACGTGTAGTCTCTTAGGACTATAGTCCCTGGAGACTATAGTCTATGGTGTCGCAGGGACTATAGTCGCGACCAAGTCCCGACCTATGTACACTTCGAAACTACGCGAGCTAATTGGTCGGAATTGCGTTATTCCGTAGCTCTTCGTCCCTCGAGAAGTTACTAACCTATTACTTACTAGCCTGGTATTTCACGAGCATAGACGCTAAAGTATAAGGAGACTAGTGCTTACTACAATAGGTATATTAGTTAATTAGTAAGGACTATGGTCGAGACTAAAGACTATAGTCCCAATGCCTGAGAACTGGGACTGGGACGAGTTAGACTAGTTGGCAACAATGTTGTCGAGGGTAATCTGGCCAACTTCTTCACGGCCAGCCAGCCGCTGATACGATCGGGTGTTTTCTTCAACTCAAAGTTCCAGATCATCATGACCAATATGGTGCGCAGATGCAGATATGCGAATCGCCCGGCCGTAAGCAACAGCCCCGCGTACCCAGGCCGAGACACCAGATGCGGGGCCGGCCTGGGCGTCGTAAGTATCCTCGCCTTTCGTTGTCTGACACGAGCCAGCGTTCGGGCCGGAAAGTGTTCACGTCCGGCGCGTCCGGCGTCCATTGGCCCACCTGGTTTCTTCCCCTCCAGGCTCGACCTGCTACGCGTCGCGTTGTCGACGGACAACAGAAGGGGGGAAATGTAGCCAGGACCGAGGTGCATGGAGAAGAAGTCAGTGCCCTTGGGGGGTGCTGTGGCCTAGCAGCGTCGTGTCGACGGTCGTCGGACGGATTGAGCCGTTGAAGATCTGGGCCGTGCGATTCGCCTCCTCGATCGTTGCGTCAAGGCAAGAGATCTGGATTTTGATGATTTCCTCCATAGTATAGTTACGCTGTTCTGCGGCCGCCACGCTGTGGGCTTCTCGGAGGCGAGCTCGGGAGTTTGCTTTGTGGCCCCTGGTAAAGCGACAAGTACTTGATGGTCCATGCGAGTGTCATCGAAGTTGTGTCGAGCCCTCTGACTATGAAGCCCATGGGCTGGAGTCATGTCAATACTCGGGGCAGCAAAATTCCACGATGGACACGTACCTCGTCCTTGATGGGTGCGAGACTGGTGGTCCGGGCCGGGACCCTCTTTCTTTGGCGCCGCAGTCTCTCGCTGCAAAAATCTCGTCAAACGCGCTCGTCCGTTTGGATCTGTTTGAGGACAGCTTCCGGATTGCTGCCTCGATGGAATCGGGAGGGTGAGAAGGGACAGCCTTGTCGATTTCGCCTCGACATCCGGGGGTACGGTAAACTGTGCTATGATTCTTGATCGAACTTTTGCTGGCCGAGCATCTCGGCAACGGGGCTGAGATATTGAACCTGCCGACTGTGGTTGTCTCCATGACGCCATGCAAGGAGTCATTTGCGGTACAACGTGGGAGGACTTGACAGGCCTTTGTTATGGCATGGCCGGAAAGTGCTGAAAATATCGCCCATCGCTTCTCAGTCGGCGCCATCGGATCACCGCTAGATCTGCTTTGTCCATATATATCGAAGATAGACGCTCCTCGCCGCTTTTGCACGCTTCGATTCTTTCAAGGAATCCTCGATGCTGCGACCGCCCTTCGGCTCGCGTTCGTGTATTTCACGCGCTGCACTTAGATTCTCGATCTATGGAGTTCCGCCTTCCTCTCCTACTACTAGTCCCCTCCACGTGTGAAATCACTATTCAGAGCGAAGTCTCTCTGCGTCGCACTGTTTCGCAAATACTACAAGCTCCCGTTGAGATTTACCACTGGCGACATACCTTGAGCTGGTCATGTAATTTAATGTTGCGCGGTTGAAATCGGAAATCTCCCTAGCATGGCCGTTCTGAATATCACCGCCGACCGCCGCGAAGGCGGGGTCCCGTGATTTTGCCAGATCAGGCCATTCTCAGGTTTGAGGACGCCAGCAGGCACTTGAAGGGGCATCCTTGAAATTCGGTCTCAAGCCTTGTACAGGAGGTACTGAAGAAGTTTGCCATGCAGCTAATGAAAACCCACCTCTTCGTGGCAGCTTCGCCCGCGAAGGACCCGGAAAGGGGTAGTAGCATTCCCGAATTCCTGCCCCCCCGCTACCTCGGGATTGGTATTCTTGAAATGCACGTTTACGCCGACCAGACAAAATGACGGTCCGTCACCGTGCCTCCCATAATACATTCTGGGCAGCATGTTAAATATTCTTCTCATCGACTTTTACATGTTCAACTCGGGACGCAACCATGGACGGAAACCTTGAAGACGTGGAGTTCTTTCGCCAGATAGGTTGGTGCGAAGCCTACCTCGACCCTGCCCGCTACTCGAAAATTCCTGGCATCACACGCAAACCCAACGAGCATGCTCGGGCCAATACACTGTTTACGCGCACCCTACGGTCGTCGGATTCGATCAGAGCCACCGTGTCCCTCTCTTCCATACCTGCCAAGCCCAATGATCCCGTGACCGAGGCCGTCACACTGATCTCGCTGGGCTCGGACTTGAACGGCTGGAGCGACACAATACACGGTGGATTCTTGGCCGTCTTGTTGGATGAGTGCGCGGGCGTGCTCCTGGGCTTGAATGAAGGGTCTGGAAACGCGGAGCCACCACGCGTCTACACGGCTTACATCAATGTCTCGTACAAAAGACCCGTTCGAACCCCCCAAATCATCGTTGCAAAGGCCACGCTCCGCAGCAAGACGGGACGGAAGACAGTGGTCACGGTGGACATTCTCGACCCGCAAGGTACCGTCTTATGCAGCGCAGAAACAATGTTCATAACGTCCAATGCAGCGGCAAATCTCTAAAGACTGGCTTGGCGTGCGCCACCTGGTCGGTGTTTGTCTGAGCACGTCGTTGGGCCTCGGTTCGGCTGAAGAGACACCGCGGACCGCGGTGGTTGGTATGCCCCAGCATGGCCTGATGCAGTTCGCCACATGTCGCAGATGGCCTTATGGAGTCTTCGAGCCACGACCTAGACATCCAGCTAAATTTTATCTGAACGGCCATTCGCTGACATCGACTACCATTCAATATAGAAAGACATGCAGTCAATATCACACCACGGTGGATAGTATGAGAAACACCACCGATAGGGATTATCATTGTCGTGGGGATGATGGCCTTTGTGAATTCGTCGAGCAACCACGCAACTTTACCAGCATACTGTACATAGGCAAGGAGACGGGTGCTTAGATCCACCCCAACCCACATCCTCGTGTCCATTAGTGACAGAGCGGGGGATGGGCGGCATACCACAGTGCAAGTATTTCGTTCCGCCGTGTCCGATCTTGCCTGGATAAATGGGTCCGAACTTACTTGGTCTAGTTAGCCCCGCAGGAGCACACCCCCTCCTTCCCCCACGCTTCTTCGCCTTTTGCCCTGGAGCCCCAGCTGCAGGGGCTTGGGGGCTTGTGGCTTGGGCCAGGAATCGACAGAGACTCGGTCGTCGTCCGCTTAGCTCCAGCAAGGCTCGAGTTTCACGAGTCAGGGTCGCGTCAAGGTAAGGCTCACTCTCCCAAAATTTTCTTGTCCAAACCTTTGCTTCATCGAACCCCTTGTATCTTCTACAGCCGTGGCCTAGCGACGCGACAGGTGCCCAAAGCTTGGTGATGGCCAGTCATTCTCCTTCACTGCCACGGCAGTCACATTCGCCCGGACATGAACCATCCGCTCCTAGCCCGGGTCACAGAGGGGCAGCAGCGGCAAGACGAAGAGCGTCGAAAGCGTGCCACTCATGCCGTACACGCAAAGTCCGCTGCGACGTCGTTGACCATGGAGTGCCGTGCACAAATTGTCGCCTCGACCGTGTGGATTGCATCCTCACCGGCTCCCGAAGGGGCAAAGCGACAAGGGCGCCGAGGGAAGAACCCAGTCGCTACCGTTCGCCGCAGTCGTTTTCTGACCACGCCGATGACCTTCCGGTTGGTCTGACCTTTGAGAAGAGGTTCAACAGATGCAGCCAAGCTCAACCGTCGAACCTGTTGAGTAACGGCGGGACCGACTGTGTCATTTCTGGCGTGGAAGACCCCGATGCCATTGTGCCGCGTAAGTCCCTAGAGGAGCGTCCCAGCTTCGTCCCCTGCGGCCGCGAGTGCCTCGTAGCTGATGGCGTTGCAGATCAGCCCCAAGATGCTGAACACCACCGTCCAAACGACTTTGGCCAGATGAGCGAGGCCTCCCAACCAGCACTATCAGCGCCACTCATCAATCCCTTGCAAAACGAGGACTGCTTTGTTGCGCCCGTACTCGAGCAAGCCTACGGTCTTCCTCGCTTCGTCCGTCCTCTGCCGTCATGCATCGACGCCCATGGAGCTCAATTCCTCGCGCACAAGGGGGCTCTGACGGTCCCAGACGCCAGTCTGCGGAACGAACTCCTGCGCAGTTACGTCCAATACGTGCACCCATTTATGCCCATACTGGACCTGAGGCAGTTTCTTACACCCATCGCGCGAAACGACGGTTTCGCCCAGATCAGTTTATTGACCCTCCAGGCGGTTATGTTCGCTGGCAGCACGTTCGTCGATCTCCGATTCCTTCAGAACCACGGATACAATGATCGACGGGAGGCACGCAAAGCCTTCTACACCTCGGCGCGCATGCTCTACGATTTTGACTACGAGTCGGACGACGCTGCGGTTCTGCAAGCCGTGCTCCTTCTGACCTACTGGTATGAGTCGCCCGAGGATCGAAAGCACACGTGGTATTGGATGGGCATCAGCGTATCCGTTGCCTATACCATGGGCCTCAACCGCCGCCACGCGCACGCGAATCGGGATCGCGAGACACAAAGACTCTTCAAGCGGCTGTGGTGGGCTTGCCACATTCGGGACCGACTGATCGCATTGGGCATGCGCCGCCCCGCGTGGATCAAACTCGAAGACCATGATACACCGATGTTGGAAAGAGATGACTTCGACACGGAGCCATTGCCGAACGAGCTGTTTACCTTGCTCGGTGGCGCGCCGAGCGTGCTGGATTGTGTCTCCCGGCCTGATCTCGTCTACGCGTGCATCGATCTGGCAAAGTTGACCGTCTGTATCGGCCACATTCTGGTCACGCAGTACTCTCTCGTGACCGAAAGTGCAGGCGGAACTGCGGGCGGAAGCATGATGTTGAGCCCACAGCGGTCGACCCTACAAATGTCCGAGGCCACCCGGTGTGAGGAGCGGCTGAGGCAGTGGGAGCAAGAGTTGCACCCTGAAGCTCGGTACAACGTCGTCGGGGCTTACCAATACGGCGGATTGCCGGTTGACCCGGTCATCAACGTCCACCGGGCGCTCCTGCGAATGGTGTATCTGACGACGCTGTCCGCACTGTACAGACCCCAAGTCTTCCGTCCCAAGAAGATGCAAAGGGCGAGGCCTTCCAAATCCGGAATCTCGGCCCGGCAGATCCTGAGGCAGGTGGCAAACGAGATCACCGATATCATCGCGGATTTGCAAGCCCAGGATCAGATCCGCTTCCTGTCTACCAGTGGTGTCATGGTCCTGTCTCCCACCGTGATCACACTGTTGCTGGACATCAACTCTCCGGACCACGACAAGCGAAACGCCAGCATCGCCCGCTTTTACCGGTGCATGCAGGTTCTGCACAGACTGCGCGAAATCTACGCCTCAGCAGACTCGGCAATCTCGTTTCTCGAGGCCGCCATCCAAAAGGCTCACGTGCAGATCCCATCCGGGAAAGCAGATGGCCCGTTTTCCTCTCGCGAGCATTCTGCCGCCGGCGTCGTTCACGCATCATCGGAGCATCGGACATTCTTGGCCACTGACGGCTCTTTGAATGGCATGGCGGCGGCTCAGAATCAGTCGACTACGCTGTTGGGCACGGTCGACAAGGACTATCCCCAAGTCTATGGGCAAACCGACCAGATGGAAGGACCTTTGAACGACGCAATGACCATGAGTCTGCATGACCCCATGGGTGGCGGGGCGTCGATTAGTGATGACATGCAAGAAAGTAACCAGTTCTCTTCACTCGGAGAAGGCGAAAACAACTCGGACAAGGATGACAATTGGTATTTAGTGGATGCCTTGTTCAATTTCGAGGGAAATACTAGCCTGCACGGGTTTGACGGCGGCTTCGGCACCGGTCTTGAAATCTCATAGGCATTGATTTGCGCGGAGGCGCTTGCATCACAGTAGATCGTGTATCCAGCCAATCTGTTCGGCTGTCAAACGAAGTGTGTGCTGCGCTCCCCCGTCTGCCTGGGGCAGGAATTTAAGATCCAAGGCGACCCTTTGCCCCTCTTTTGCCTTCCGAGTCGGTCGTCGACACGGCAAACTCTCAGCTGGCTTCTTAAGCTAGAGCTTCGTCCTTCCCGTGCCGTCACTCTTTGCCTGCGCTCTCAGCTCCCGCCTCAGGATCTTGCCGCTGGCACTCTTGGGGATGCTAGACACAAAGACGACACCACCTCTGAGCTGCTTGTGCTTGGCCAACTTGTTCTTGACCAGATCGGCGATCTGGGCGGCCGAGATTCTCGTCTCATCGGCAACCACGAAGGCTCGAGGCAACTCATTGCCGCTCCCATCCAGTGCTGGTACGCCGATGACGGCGGCATCGGTAATCAGTGGGTGAGAAAGTAGCAAGGCTTCGAGCTCGGCGGGGGCCACTTGAAGACCCTTGTACTTGATGAGTTCCTACATTGCCCACGCGAAAAAGATGCCCCAAGTCAGTCAACCCGAAGCACTCAGACTGTTGTACCTTTCAAGAAAAGGAGAGTGGAAGGAAGGAAGGAATTGGACGGGCGTAGTTAAAAAAAAAAAAAAAAAAAAAAGACGGCTGCTTACCTTCTTGCGGTCCACGACGTAGAACTTCTTGTCGCTCCTCACTCCAATATCGCCGGTCTTGAACCACCGGAGATCGCGCGTGAAAGCAGCGTTGGTTTCTTGATCACTGTGCCAGTAACCTCGAGTGACCATGGGACCTTGAAAGATGATTTCGCCCGGTTGCCCTTCCTCCACGTCCTGTTCGTCGTCATCGACTATGCGTACCCTGACGTTCGACATCAACGGCGAAATACTCCCAGTGTCGTCGACTTCGTCCCACGGCATGGATGTGACGGAACCCATCGACTCCGAGAGACCCCAGGTTTGCGAGAGATGGCATCCGAGCTTTTGCTGCGCCTGTCGCGAGAGTTCGGCCCCCATTGGCGCAGCACCAGATACGGCGTGCAACAGCGTCTTGAAATGGTCGGTGACTTCGGGACTTTTGGCGATCATCAGATAGATCGGTGGCACCGTGAACAAAGCCGTGGTGCGGAACTGTCTGTTGTACTCTAAAAAGCCGGCAAAGTCGAATCTCTGCATCCAGTACACCGTGCCACCGGATACGATGGGGTTGATAAAATACCCCAAACACCCGGCCACATGTGCAGTCGGTAGATGTGCGAGCGTGCGGTAGGCGAAATTGAACGAGGGATCTTTCAGCTTCCTCCTCTTCGCGTACTCCCGGATCGGGAGGCCCAAGAGAAGACCCTCGGAGACGAGGTTGGTGTGCGACACCTTGACGCCTAAGATACACGCCGTCAGCGATCATCATCCAAAAGGTATGAATCAGTGAAAACAGCCTGGCGCGAAAAGAAGATAGTTCCGCCCCTCCATACACACCTTTTGGCACGCCGGTGGTCCCGCTGCTGTAGAGCAAGCAGATGATGCTTTCCTCCAGTTCTTTCTCATCGGTTATACGTTCCCACTCCAGCATCTGGTTGGGGTTCTCGTTTCCTCCGAGCAAGTTGGGACCCTGGCCCGTGGCATCGTGGAGTGTCCTTGCGCCCGCCTTGCTTTCCAAGACCAGGATTCTGTCGCGTCCTATGCCAACCTCTAAACAAGCCTTGACGGTGACTTCGAGACAGTCACTGCTCGTGACGACCAGTTGGGCGTTGCCGTGCTTGAGCTGCCGTGCGAGCTCGATAGAACTATAACTTGGGCTTGCTGAGCTGTAGATGCCCCCGGCGGCGATCGTCCCGTAGAATAGCGCCGGCAGGAGGACCTGACCGGTCGAGACACAGAGGACAACGTCTTTGCCTCGTCCCCGAGCACCTATGCCATACTGAGATCGCAGGATGTGCGCGATTCGCTTCGTCCACGTCCGTGTCTGCGCCTTGGTGACCGAGTTGCTGGGATGGGCGGCCTCGACATGTAGCACCGTGGCATCGTCCCCCAAGCACCACGGTGATTCTGCACGCTTAGTGTCAGATGGCCCAGTTCGGGACGCGAACCAAGGGGTACCCACCAAATAGTAATGTCAAAAGGTCGAGCGTTGGCAACACATAATCTTTTGCAGGCAGATAAGTGGCCGGAGGCGTCGCCATCGCAGAGATGAATGGACGATGGTCGGTGGTGTCGATTATCGAACTCTCAACTTCGAAGTCGCTGTCCAGAGGTGTCGATGTCGAAACCCCGATTTACATGGACCTCCGCAGCATAAGACGAAACCTCGTGTTTAACCCGTTTCAAGGGTAGAGAGACGCTATCGCCAAACTTACCGGCTTTCCCTCGTTTGGCAGCGATGCCTTGCGGATGAAGTGGATTCCGAGGCATACAGGGTCAAAGCGAGCGCCAGTCCCATTCATTCCCGTTGCCGAGGGTGTCATTTCTCACCACCGTAACCGAAGTTAGATATGTATTGCGTTCGATTTGGCTTGAAATTCTCTGGTACGATATTCAAGCTTACTGTAGCCAATTTGCACCTCCCGCATTATTATTTTTTTTCTCCCTTTCCCTTTCGCATCTTACAGTTGATGGCACACCAGCTTAAGAGTGATTGGACTAGACTAGCCACCGCCGTTGTACACGTTCCTACTAGTGTTTGAAGTGAGACGCAGACTCCTCAGGTGTTACGTGCTTTCACGTGGGCAGTTTGAATTGGCTTGTAGACAGCTATCATGTGTGTTACATGGGCTTAATTTTTTTTATTGAACCTGCTTAAGGAAGGCGTTGATGTTGTCGGCAACGACAAGTGCTATGATGCTGTTGGACTTGGTTTAGTGACCCTTCTTGGACTGTATACCGCCGACGGGGGGAGGGGGGAGGGGGCACTTACGAATGGGGCGCAATCCTGAAAAGGTATGCACCGAACCCACGGTAAAATCGAAGGAACCCTTCGTTCCTCACGACACTCAAGGCACAATGCCACATGCCTCTGTAGACGGGCGTTCCAGTCGCAGCATTTGCCCTTTGCAGTCGGGTCTTCAGGAAGTCGAACGGCAGACTGAAAAAGGCGGCTGATAGTCCGGCAATTGCCGAAGCACAAATTGTCTGTACCTGTGGGCTAAGCGTTGTGTGGGTTGACAATTGGTGTTTGGATTCGGAGAAAAATGCCAGCTGGCCGAAGTTGGTCGCCATGGCCCTTATCATGGTTGGGTAGGCGCCCGACCATAGAGCCAGCATCCCCTCGTTGCGAGAGATGCGAGCCAAGGTGTCGAAAGCTGAGCGGTAGTTCGCCCTGAGCTCTTTCGGCTGTAAGCCGTCGGACTGCATTCGTACGAGCGCAACCTCTGTAGGGTTCGCGACAAGAGCGGCCAACCCACCAGCAGCCAGTCCGGCCAATGCTCGGTGTTCGAAACCCATCTGCAATCCCTGTCGCTGGAGTCGTTGCTGCATCATGTCCTCGAAAGTGAAAAAGAGACCAAGTCGAGCGGTGCCGTACACGATTTGACGCAGTAAACCCGCCGAGAGGCCTTGATAGAGGTCAGTGACCTTGCCTTGGCTGACAATCGTCCTTGCTATAGACAACGCTGTAGGTCTCGGTCCTTTTCTGGCGCCCTCTCCTGCTAGTTGCAGGCGCACTTTGAGTAAATCAATCGGCTGAATGCAGACAGTGGCAACCATTCCGGAGGAGCCGCCAACGATAAACGGGAGAAGTGCTGAAACCCATGGTGCCTGCTGAGCCTCTGTCGTTGCGGAGACTTGATCAGTTACGTGAGACATCAACTCTGGCGACGGACAATGAACCGAGAATGCGACACGAGAAGAGGGAGCGGGGAATTGATTGTCGTCAACAGATTAGGCTTGACACACAAGACTCGACCATCACAAGCAAAATAGGTCCCAGCAGATGAGATGTCGCAAGAAGAGCGAATGACACCCCCAGCAAACGATGGGAGAGCAGCAAGAAAGCACGCGTCAGCCAAGGGCGATACACGCAAGGCAAACAACTTAGCTGAATAGCGGGCCACCAGAATGTCTTGTCCCACGGACGCTGGCTATGGCACTGCCAAAATCTGAACTTGACAGCAATGTCTGTGGTTGGTGATCGGAGGAGAGCATGTCAACCTCCTTACAAGGTGACCTCGGTAAACTGCTTCGACTGGCCCGAACCAAGTCCTGATAGCCGGCACACCCATATCCAGGCCAGGCGCAGAGTTGCATATTGAAAGAGGCCGGGGAACAAAAGAAATGCCCCGATTGAGACGATCCGTGGATCGTTGACAACAAATCCTCATTTCGAAGGATGGTCACGTGCCACATGGGCTGGTAGTCTGTGACCCAATGGAGGAACATGGTGAATTCTCCTATGCCCAGGGAATTATATTATCGAATAATTACAGGAGGGTTAGTGGCGCAGAACGAGCCTATTTTGGGGTCACGGATACGGGCCTCGATACCCGGTGAGGGTAACTATGCCATAAACGGCTCTCAAGATATGTCCTCGACCGCGCAAATTGCGGCAAAAGATCCCTTGGTCAGCCACCGACCTTTAGGCACGCGGCATAACCCCCTCACCCGAGCTAGCTCAAGTACCGAGTATATCGGCACTGGGGAGAAGGCGGAGCCGGGTGTTATACTGACCGGTAATGTCATGGTGACCCTTGGAAGATATCGAGGCCCCGGGAAATGCCATAATTCCACTGGAAGCCAACTTCCATGCCGGACGATTTGAAGGCTTCAGAAGCATGGCCGAGGGAAGCCCGAAATAACACAGCAGTTTGATATTAGCGCAGGTCAACGGTTGACACCAGCGGCACCGCAAAGACTAGGTTGGGCGTTGGGAAGGACGGCAACTCTGTATTTTTGGCTGCAGCGGTTCAAATCCGCCAGGTCCCCAAAAGGACAAGCCACCTTTGATTCAAGCAGCGAGGACCAGATCAACATGTTTTCTGGACAACATTGAAAATTGGAAAGCAAGGCTGGCTGCTGATGAGAAGCTGTCGAAATTACTACGGACTTCCCTGACTGCCCGACGTTCGACACAATACCGTGTTGACATTGCATGGCTCATCGGCCCAGTCGAGTATCTCAAAAATTCTGGTATAACATCGACATGTCTGCGCTGCAGCTTCGACACTCTATTGCTTCCGCAAAGTGCATTTTGGTGACATCTCTCGTAAATGTCCGTGATGCTGACACTGGCCACCGAACCAAAGCTTCGCGACGATGGCGTCAAAACCATTCCTCTGTGTTACGTGAACAATCTATGGGACTGCAGCAGTGACCGGGGGTTTGGGGCTGTGACGATACCATGACATTCATTGTCAACAACAAATGTTAAGCATTCATGTTTATCAAGACCGTCTTGGGCTCGGTATATGCCCTCAGCGCATATTCACCCATTTCTCTGCCGATACCCGACTGTTTTCGTCCTCCGAAAGGGACCTGCATATTCATGTAACTCACACAGTTGATGCCTACCACCCCCGAATCCACTTGTGCTGAAACCCGCATGGCTCTAGTGATATCGCGGGTAAAGACCCCAGACATCAGGCCATAGTCAGACTCGTTAGCCCAGCCAAGTACTTCCTCCTCCGTCTCAAACGTCCTGATCACGGCCGCGGGACCGAAGACCTCATTCTTATAGATCTCCGCATCGGGTTGAGGGTTGAGAAACACTGTAGGTTCCATGAAGCAGCCGGTCTCTCCGTGCCGGACCCCGCCCACGACCAGCTCAGCTTGTGACTTTGCACGCTCAACCATATTCAGTACACGGTCGAATTGTCCTGCATCTACCAGTGGTCCTAGCTTGACCGAGAGATCTTGGGGGTCGCCTAGATCAGATGCTGCCGCTTTCATCCTCTCGATGTACTTTTCAACAAAGCGATCCGCAATAGACTTTTGGACGTAGATTCTCGTTGCGGCGACGCAGACTTGGCCGGACCGAGCCAGGATAGCATTCGTGGTCCAGGTAACGGCGTTCTCGAGGTTGCAGTCGTCGAAAACAAGCGCAGGGCTCTTGCCTCCAAGCTCAAGGGTGACGCGCTTGAGGTTACTCTGTGCTGCCGCCGTCTGAATTCGCTTGCCGGTGGACACACTGCCTGTAAAACTGATCTTGTTGATGCGGTTATGGCTCGCTAGTAAAGCACCGGTCTGTCCGTCTCCAGGGAGGACCTGGACGACGCCTTTAGGAAACCCAGCTTGTTCGAAGAGCGGGGCAATGGCAAGGGATCCTAGAGGTGTCTTTTCCGACGGCTTAACGATCATGACGTTTCCTGTAGCCAAACATGGTGCTAGCTTGAGCATCATGGTCGCCACGGGAGCGTTGAACGGATTGACAGCTGCACACACGCCCAACGGTTCATGACGAACTAGCTTAACAAATCCTGGGGTAGTGATCATGAATCAGCACGATCGATATGGAAGGCAGGAAAACGTTCGTTGGGACGCACCATCGTCGGCAGGAAAATATTCCCCCCTGAGCTTATCTGTCCAACCGGCGTAGTAGAGGATACAGTTCTTGATGTAGTTTTTCTCTCTTGTAGGAATTAGAGACACTGGGTTCCCAGAAGTGAGGGAGTCGAGAGTGAGGATAGGCGTTAGTTTGTCTTCCACGAGTTCTGCCAGCTTGAGGAGACACTCCGTCCTCTGCATGGCAGAAAATTTGCTCCATGGCCCTCGAAATGCCGCCTCCGCGTAGGACACGGCCAAATCAACATCGGCAGCTCTTGCCACGGGGACGCCGTCCACGACCTTGGTGTTATCCTTGGGATTGAACAGAGTGTACGTTTCCGTGCTTTGTGCACTTACGTATTCTCCATTGAGGTAGAGTTTGGTAAAGTCTTTGGGGTTCAGTGATTCGGCGCTACCCATTTCGTACGAGGTTCGATAAGCACTTGGATATGCGTGACACTAAAGGGAGGCACGGTGTTGCATTGAAAAGGTCCTGCTGAGTCTCACTGACGCATGGACCTGGGCCGTAGACCATATTGGACGCGGGCCAGGTGCCGGGATCAGAATGTCCCAGAGAGCCCGAGGCTGACAACGCCAGCCTTGTGCGTATAACCTCGGTTTCGGCAACCAATGTACCCAAATAAATGGACAGTACGAGGTACTATTGCTGGACAGACCAAAACTTCATTAGAGTGTCTATTATACAAGACAGAAATTGAGACGCAGGCCATTTGTGTTTAATGAATGAAATCCACTCGCTTCCAGACTTTTCCGAACCAACAGGGGCTATGCTTCAGGCAGCTCCAAGCCTCTAATTTTCCGACCCTGTTTGTAGAGTCCATCTACCAGGAGGGGTCTGACGGTCTTGCCGTTGTAAGGTAGCTCGCTCAGGAAACCCCACCGAGCAGCCTCCTTCCATCCTTTCTGCTGCCAGTCATTCAGGCTGCCACGAGGGAAAAATTCGTAGACATCCAGCGCTGCTGGATCATGTGCGATCGTTACTAGAACACGAGGATCGGCATCAAATTCCATCAAGCCAAGCACAGACTTCTCTGCCACGATTGGGTCCTTGTAGAAGGTAGCTGCATCCGTCGAGATGTGTGTGAACGGTTCCTGATACACAGCAGGCGCTCTGTCAACTTACAGTAACGCGGGGGTGGAGTTGGGAATACGGGGGGAAGTGCATCCACATACCGACCGACCGTCCTCGCCATGAGGGTGAGATGACAGAAATCCTCCACACAAGCAAGGACGTGGCAGACGCCTGTCGAGCGCCGATCCTTCCGGGATAATGTCAGGAATTGGGATATATTTGGACGGTCTGATAGAGCCAGCAAAATGGCAGGTATCGGCTCCTAACAGCACGAACGTGTCCTGAGTTGTCCGAACCAGGCCAGCCATGTGTCCGACCGCATGTCCGGGTACGTCGAGAATGTAAAAGCTCCCATCGCCAAAGAAATCGTGGGCCTTAAACTGACCAATTTGCAGAGAGTCCGAGAAACTGAGCTCCACAACCTCTCGGTCCTCAAAATCGGCCTCGTGAAACGGTGAGTCTTGTCTGGTAGGATAGCCGGGCATAAAAGCCTCCCGAAAACCAGGACCGACAACCATCTTGACGGACTTTGGCAATTTTGAAGGCGCTCCACAATGATCAAAATGCCAGTGGCTAAGCACAAATGTGTCGATGTTACAGATATCGACGTTGCCATTGGCAAGAATATCTTGCACGTCCTGCTCGATTTTCACCCCCTGCACATGACCTTGTATTAGGCCAGATATATGCGGCACATGATTTTGCCAATCAGCTCGAGCGCCCAAGTCAAATAAAAGCTCCGTTCCAAGCCTCTCGTGCTTGATATAGTAAGAGAACGTAGGAAGATTGATCCACTCGTAACCGGGGATTTTGGGCTCAACAAGGTAGTGGGGTGGTACCGTGATATCACAGGTCGTGTTGATGATCGAGACATGACAAATATCTGAGCCTCCGGGGAGATCCAAAGAGAGTGTTCTCGAGGTATTCTGAGACTCTTCCATGACGGTAGGTGTCGACATGAATCCTGGGTGGTTATGTGACTATCCACGACGGAGCCGTCACATATACAGTAGAAGGCGCAGGCGGGCTAGGCTAGGGCATTGGACCGACCAGACTGTGTTTCAAGCGGTCTTAAAAGACTCCAAAGTTACCTCGGCCCCGATCGTGGTCTCGAAGTCATGAAGCGATGCATGGG